TCTTGGTTTCCATTTCAATTTCTCAGCGAGGTTCTCTCTCACCACCCAGTTTACAGTTCAACTCCCTATCCTTGCTGTCTTTCACCTCATAAACATATCAGTTAGGACGGTTGTGTTTTTCTTTCTGGTGGTGTATGGTATGGCATGTATCCCTATATAGATGAGTTATAGAAGGTCTCAAATTTCACATTACTTTTTTTCTTTTTTTTTTTTTTGAGTGGCTCATCGCTCTGTAGCCAGGCAGGAGTTAGTGTTGGTAATCTCGGCTTCACTGCAACTCTGCTCCTGGATAATGATTCTATGTCTCAGCTCCCCCAAGTAGCTGGGACTGCAGGTGTGCGCCACCATGCATGGCTAATTTTTGTACTTTTAGTAGAGACAGAGTTTCACCATGTTGCCCAGGCTGGTCTTGAACTCCTGAGCTCAAGTGATCCACTCGCCTTGGTCTCTCAAAGTGCTGGGATTATAGGCGTGAGCCACTGTACCTGGCCAATGTTTACTTTTACAACTGCCCAAGACTCTGGGTCATTTGAAGGATTTAATTCTTTTCCTCCGTGGAGCACTATCCCAGATGTATTAGAACTGTAGGATTTTGGAAAAATGGATTGTTTTTTTTGAGCTGGAGTTTCATTCTTGTTGCCCAGGCTGGAGTGCAAATGGCATGATCTCGGCTCACTGCAACCTCCTCCTCCCAGGTTCAAGTGATTCTCCTGCCTCAGCCTCCTGAGACAGAGCGATACTCTACGCGAATTGCGTCAGAACTGACAATCAGTGTGGGATAGTCCCATAGAGGGATGCTAATGGTCAAGAAAAAATTCCGCACTGAAATAGCTCATCCTCAAGATGAAAATCCGTCGGTAAATGGACCGCTTCTTCTGAGAAACTGCTTAGTTATTTCCGTTTAATTACCCACGGAGTTAACAATCTGTTACGCTGTTGCTCCTCGATCCATCATCCTCTCGCCAACCAGTTATTTTGTGTGGAGCTCTGATCACAGAACAGACCTCATTTCGGGCTTCCTAGATTGAATATCATCGCAAGACGTTTGCCCGGCCGCATTATACGCGCCGTCACAAACAGTGGAGTATATTATGTAGACTGGCTCATCCGCTCATGCACATTCGCGCAGATGAAAATCTGAGAAGTAACCCTCCATAAGATCAAATAGCCTTTCTCCGAAAACGGGCTTACTACCGTAATCTTCTGTCCCTACGGCAAATCATACCACCCCACATCATCACCTCAACAGAGTTACCACGCTTGTCCTCAAGAAGCTTTCGCTAGACAGTTCTTGTGGAATTTACAAAAGTGACGATTAGATAGATGAGCTTCTCTAGATACCCACAGGGACAAGTGTGTCTGGGTGATGGACAAATAAAGTGACAAATCAGCCGAGCCGCGTGCTCCATGCCTGTAATCCCCAGCACTTTGGGAGGCCCAGGAGAGGTGGGAATCCAAAAGGCCTCAGGAGATCGAGGACCAGCTTAGTAGAGATGGTGAAACCCCGTTTTACCTAAAGATACAAAAATTTAGCTCAAGCACGGTGATGTGCCTGTAATCCAGCTATACTCAGCAGGCTGAGGGCAAGAATCACATTTGAAAACCCTGGAGCGGAGGTGCAGTGAGCTGATGATCGCACCATTGCACCTCCAGCCTGGGAACAGAAGCAAGACTCCATCTCAGGAAAAAAAAAAAAAAAAAAAAAAGCACTCTTTTTCCCATCTCCACCTGTTAAGGGACCCAGTTGTGACCAAGGCATCGTGGTGCCGGTGTAATTCTGGTACATCTGGAAACGAAGATTTTCTTTTACCCTTTTCTCAAAGTTGTGCCTTTGTCCTCTACAAAATCACCCACTTTCAGGAGGGGAAAAAATTGGACGATCTTTTTTTTCTTTCATCTCTGGAAAAGGCAGCTGTTTCTTGAAGAATTACGTTCAGTCTTCGGTTCTACAACGTCTTTTCCCAGGAACTGACAGATCTCTCTACAGTTCGTTCTTGTGTCCTAAAAAAGAAAATCAAAGAGAGAGGATAAAAAGAGAAAACAAAGGCTGGGCGTGGTGTTTCATCGTATGTAATCCCCAGCACTCGGGAGGCTGAGGTGGGTTGATCTCTAGATCAAGAGTTCGAGACCGAGCCTGTCAACATGGTGAAACCCCCGTCTCTAACTAAAAATAACCAAAAATTGCAGGGCAATGGTGGTGGGTGCTCTGTAATCCCAGCCTAACTCAGGAGGCGTGGGGACGGGAAGTTGCTGAACCCATTGGAGGTGGGAGGCTCAGTGAGCCTGGAGCGTCATGCCATTGCACTACAAACCTGGTGACAGAGTGATCTTGTCCAAAAAAAAAAAAAGTAAGAATGAGAAGGAGAAGGGGACTGCCAGAATGAGAGGGAGGATGGAAAAAGAAGAAACAACATGCAGACTGAGAATGGAATTGAGTTGAAATGCAATTAGGAAGGAAAAGAAAGAAAAAAAGGTAAAGAAGAGAGGGCATAAGTATGTAAACAAGACGCAAGGATCGGCTTTGGCGGCCGTGCTCCTGCCTGTAATTCCAGCACTTTGGGAGGCTGAGGCAGGCGATCAACTTGAGTCATGGAGTTTTAGACACGCCTGGCAATATAGTGAGAACTTCTGTCTCTACAAAAAATACAAAAATTGAGCCAGGCAAATCGATGTGGCGCACACCTGTGGTACCAGCTACTGGGAGGTCTGAGGTGAGGTTGGGAATCACCTGAAACCAAGGAAGTTTGAGGTTGCAGTGAGCTTGGATTTTGCATCCACTGTATTCTAGCCTGGGCAGTGGAGTGAGAACCTGTCCTCGAAAACAAACAAAAAACCAACCGAAAACAAAAATGCAAGGATCATTGTGGATTTTCCTGTGTGGTAGAGCTTAGGACAACTTAACAATAAAACACAGAGGCCTCGGGTTTCTTAAGAGAACGTTTAGAGGGCTCTAGACATGTAATCAATGTTACAAGGAGAAAGTTCAGGGAAGAATCTGACAGAGAACCTTAAGGGGGCTAGATTTCAAAATCCCAGCTGCGCTGTCAGATAGTACTGTTTTTCCCGTAACTAGCTTTTGAATAACACACAGAGTTTTAACATATCTTCTTATATTTCATCTCAGTAATTGGACTAGGTTCATGATCCTATGGATATTAAGATAATAGAATTTTTTATTGTAAAGCATTTTTATTTATGTATTTATGTTATGAAGACAAGATCATCACGTCTGTCGCCCGGCTGGAAGCCGCAGTGGCAGTGATCTCAGCTCACTGCAAACTCCACCCTCCCAGGCTCAAGCATTCTCCTTCTCAACCATTCTCCTGAGGATAGCCGGGTTATCAGGCATGCACCACCAGCTCCCTGCTAATTATGTATTTTTAGTAGAAGAGGGGG